CCTAAAGGAAAGCAAAAAGTAGACGAAATAGCAAAGAATCCTAATCATGATAGTAACGAAAATCCGAATCAGTTGGTGAAATAGTGACTCTTCTTACCAACTCCCATATTCCCTCGACATCGTCTACTCCCCTTGCCCCCCCCCATGTCATCCACATCAAATAGTCCGTTTATGTTCATCTATCGCAGTCTCTTCTACATTACTCTTTGGATAGAAGAAGAAGAAGAAGAAGAAGAAGAAGAAGAAATAAAAGATAAATGAGTGAGAAGAAGATGGTAAAGGGAAAAGGGAGTTGGCGAAGAAGATTCATTATTTCATTTAATTCTTACTGTCACCATCACCACCATCATGATTAGGATTTTTGCTTCTTTCTTTCATTCTTTCCCTTTCTAATTCTGTCTCTTTTATGCTTTCTCTTCAAGCAACAATTTCATTTTTACCACTTCATTATCACTAACAGAATCTGTGATTCTTTTACAAAGCAATAAAGTACACTCAACACAACAACAAAAGTTTGGTCCGACAGTTCATTGTTAAATTTCCATATTTGAGATAATTGGAATACTTTTTCACGATTGATTGGGTCGCGATAAATCACATGATCATGAAAGAAGTGGTAACAATTGAAATCAATTTGAAATTTAATAGAAAAGTGATATTTTTCAAAGTTTAGTCAGTCCTTGACTATTTGAATGAATTGGTACAAGAATTATTTTTTTGTCTTGATGTTTTGTCTCTCAATGTTTTGTTAACAATATGTTAATTAAATGAATCAGATTAAATTCAAACAATACGGACGAATTAATAAACTGTGAATTAATCAATAACAATATCAAGTTCACAATCAAGAGACTCTAGACTTAACTCACAAACTCACTCACTTGTCAATTATGAAACAAAGAGTCAAATTGTTGCAGCGAATTGTAAACCCAAATCAACAACCTCAACTGGTTAACCAGAATAACGTTTCAATTGTAAATATAGCAAAATTTAAATTCCCTTACAATCAATCTAGTTTCTTTTAATGAAAATAACTCGCACTAATAATGCACTTATTTCATTTTCAGTTTGCTTAACCAAAGGTACAAAAGCTTCTGATTGTTTATTTACAAATGAAAGAATCATTAATGAGTTTCAATGCAAGTTAATCCACTCATTAAAGTCTGATGATTGATTTTTTGAAACACAAGAACAGTTTATTGCACTGAAAAATATGCACAAAATAAATTGTCTGATTGTGATTAAACTTGATCAAAATGAATGAGTAGGAATGAGTAGGAATGATACATTGTGCTGATATTAATATCTTTGATAAACAAATAAAGATTAAGGTATAAGATACTGCATCCAAAAAGGCATATTGAGTTTCAGGAATATACTTACTGAATGATTCTGTAGACGACCTGCCTTGGCTTGCTCACAGCGGCCGATACAAACCTAGAGCATGAATGCTGCATCTTATACCTTAATATTTACTCAAATTGCTCGACAAATTGTTGTGATGGAAAATGTTTGATTGGGATTACATGTTTACCTTTGACCATGGACCCAACTGAGCTGATGTTTGGTAAAATTGACGAAAACGATTCTCGTCTAGTTGGTCGATTCTTGCAGCTCATCAATCTGGTCACTGAAATTTACCAACAGCTTTCTGAGGCTATTTCACGCGGTGAATTAATGAAAATCATGTCTAACTTTATTAAATTTTTTATAACTTGTAAATTTAATTAATTAAAATGGCTCAGTTTGTCAGATAACCAGTTATTGTAATCATTTTCAAACTCAACAAAATTTCTTTTTGACGCATTACAGAATTGTTTTTTCGCCATCAGATTATATGTTCAGATTATCGGTGGACGGAGAGATTCAGTCTTATCAGGCGAGGAAAAGCGGTTGAGAATTAATGAAAAGTCTAAATTACTGATTACTATCTGTCTGGTTGGCTGATTTGATTTGTTGTAGTAAAAATAGATGAAGATGATATTGGTATAAGAAATGGTTTTTAAAATGGGATATTAGATGATTTTAAGATTGTACCTGTGAAAGTACATAACATAGTTAACAGGAATCAGTTAGACAACAAAACAAGATTTAACAGCAAAGACATTAAAGGTAAAACCCATGAAAGATAATATTAAAGGGAAATGATTAAGTAAAACGTAAAAAGTGTTGATCAATAATTTTCGAAATTTTTCGATCTAAACGTCCATTGTTAAATTGTACGTTTTCAAATTGAGAGATACATTGAGACGTTGATAGAAAAATAAATTGGCAAAAGAAGCTGGAATAATCTTTGTTTCTTGGAGTGAAGATGATGATAATGATAATGGCGGTTGAAGAAATATCGAATGTTTAAAGTTTAATTATTATTCTTGATTTGATCACTTGAGTAGTTCCGTTACAATCATAGCTCGTTTGCTGAGCCTCTCCATGATGTTGGTCCATAAATACTGTAAGCAGCCATACTTGATCCAAGATAATCAACCGGTGGGTGAGGAGGTGGTGGTGGTGGATGAGGATGAGCTAAGTGTGGTGAATGTACAGGATGAGGAAGATGTGATGGAATAATTGAATGGCTTGATCTTATGTGGTGTGTTGGCTGAGAATGATGATGGTGATTGTTGTTATTTTTAGTAATCTCATTGTTACCACCAAATTGACGCGAGTTAAATCGATTAAGTTCGTCTTGTGTATCAAATATCATAACAGTAAAAGGAGAACCAGGTACATGTTTGCCAGAGTATTTAATCTCAATGGTATAATCTCCAGGCTCTGTCGGGTCATATTTGCATAAAATTATCCGATCATTCTGATTAACTCGTTGCATGTCAGCTCGAAAGGCACCTAAACAACATATAAGAAAAGTAATTTTAGCAATTTGAAAATGGAATGTATAACGATTTAAAATGTTTAAATTTAAACTTTGACATTGTGTTAAAAATAAAACTGTGTCTCAATGTCTATGCAAATTTTTAACTCAACCAGTACTTATATTTACCTCGTGGACCTCGAATTTGAACCGTTAAATCACCATAACCTGCACCTCTAGTATCACAAATAAATCTACTCATGTATAAAGGTAATACTCCGTGTTCAATGCCAGGGCCATGGACTCTAACTTTGGACGCATCAGGTGAACCGGCAATCTTTAAAGTGAATGGGCTTCCCCTTATATTTTCACCTCCATATTTGATTGTTAATGAATGTTTACCAGGCTCTTGGGGTTTAACAAATAAATTAAAAGTTCCATCCATTTGATCCAATAATTCACAGAAAGCAACTTTATTTGGACCAATACAGTGAGCAGATAAATCACCTAATGTAATCAGAAAAAAGGATGGAATTAGAGAAAAAAATTCAAAAAAATCACGTAAAAAATGAACGATTCTAACCTGGTCCAGCTCTTCTTGTATCAATGAATACTTTGATTTCTTGATCGATGGCACCTCCTTTCAGTCCTTCACCAGAACACAATACTCTGGAAGCATCACATCGAGGAAGAATAGAGACTTTTAATGGACATCCTTTAACCTGTTTACCGGACCATAAAACATTCAACAGATATGTTCCTGTAAAAAAAGTGAAAGCACATTTAGAAAACGCATTTTAAATTGTTTTGAATTTTTAACCAATGAATAGTACCTTGTATTGATGGAGTGTAGGTGGCTTTAAATATCCTGTCATTTATTTGCGTTACTTTAATAGAAATATCAGCTTTAACACCATTCATTGTTATTTCCGGCGTACCTGGTCCAGCATCAGTTCCGTCAAGGATAAATTGAGTCTCTTCACCTACTCTAGCTCCAGCAAGACCTTGACCTCTAAGAACTACGGTCGCACATTCATCACCATTACGGATAGAGTTGGTTATACCAATCAATGGTGATTTTGGTAATCGTTGATCACCAAAATTCAAACGAATTTGATACTCGCCTGGATTAAAAAGAGAATGAAAATTGATTAAAATTATTCATAAAAGATAAAATAATCAATACAGAAAATCGATCTACCAACCTTCTAGTTTAGGTGTTAGTGATAATCTAAATTTGTGTGGAGCAGTTTGCTCAATCATAGCTGGTTCAACTTTATCATCGGGAAACTTAACGAAACCAGTTAATTTGCCTATTTTCATAATAATTATGGAAACGTGAAAGAAATAAAAGATTAAATATTAAAACATGAAATAATTTGCATATTTAACATATTTACCTGGACCAGCTCCGGTCACATCAAAAGAAATGCGCTTCTTTTCATTTAATGTTAATAATATTTGCTCTTGTCCGTTGAAAATACTTTCCCAGCCTCCAATTGGACGAACCTGTTCGAGATTCAATATCTTCGGATGGAATGGTGAGCCTGAGGATAAAATATACATTAATACACAAACTCAGATTAAAACATTTTCAATGGAAGATAAAAAGTAATAATTTTATAAAAAGTGTTAAATTATATATTTCTTCGCTTTATTTGATTAACTAACCAGGAAGTTCTTTGCGATTCCATAGAACCCGAACATCAAAAATTCCAACTTCAGTTGGGACAAACGAGACTCTATAGATTCCATTTGTTTCCTCAATTTCCACTTGTGGTTCTGAATCAGGTCCTGAATAACAATGCCGACAAATCAAAAAGAGATAAGTTAACAAACATTTTCTCGATATTTAATTGTGTTAAACTAACCATCAACTCTGACTTCTGGAGAGCCTTTCAATTCACGAGCATCAATATTGAATTCAACTGGTTGGTCAACAAATCCTAGCTTTAATCCGTTTCCTTCCACAACTGGTAAATTTCCTTCTTGTGCGATGAAAGTAACTGGACTACCAGGAATTTCGATACCACCGAAAGTTATGGCAATTTTATATTTTCCAGGAACAGTTGGAATAAATTCAATTATTTCACCTTCACCATCAGGAGTTCCTTTCACTTCTATCGGTAAATGTCTTCCAAGTGGACTGGTTACCGTAAAATCAAGTTCAGCATATCCAGCATCTTTACGGTTAACTATAATCAAAACAAAAGCATAAAAAGAGTTAAAAAATGTTAAGTGTCATTAAAAAGCTTAAAAATTACGTACGAGTAAAAAATATCTTTTCATTAACAATGAAATTTGTGGACTTGATTCTTTGAAGGGTAACTTTTGAAGCATCAAAAACCTCACTAGTAAATGGTGAGCCAGTAATACTGTTATCCTGATAGAGGACATCAATCTTGTGAGGACCTGAATTAATGAAAATAAAATGACAATAAAATTATAAGAATAAATCGATTACAACAATCATACAAGATAAAGATTTACCTGTTCGTTGTGGAGTAAACTCTGCCAGTAAACTGCCATCTTTTTGTTGATAACATTTTATATTCAATGGCGATCCATTCGGATCAGTGACAATAACGTCAAAATTTTTGGCAGCAGCAAAGCCTCCAGTTTCAATAAGGAAAGTAGCTGGTTCCTCGGGAACACAAGATTTCAAAGCTGGTCCATGAACAATGATTGATTTTGTTGGATCACGTATTTCAACCATTTGGGGACAACCAGGAGCTTGATGGTCATTGTACCGAACATCGATATAATGTGGTGAATCGACTTTTGGTTTGTAAGAAACCAAGTAAACTCCAGTTGATATTTCCTTAATACAATGAGTTACTTCTGAATCATTTGAAGTTTTAATGTTTACTGATAAATTACCACGACCAGCCCATGTACAATCAACTGTTAATGAAACCAAAGACAAAAAATTAATATAAAAATCCAGGAATATTTACTTGAAAATTGCTTACTTTTAAATGTTTGCTCGCGACCAACAACACCATCTTGAACATCAATCAGTTTAACTCGACTAGGATCACAAATTTCAATGAAACTTGTTTTCTCAGCGACCAAATTTCCTTTAATGTATTGTTCAATTCGGTGAAGTCCAACTTCTTTTGGAACAAATTCAACCTTAAAAGTTGAATTATCTCGAGTTACTTTTGATATAATTGGTGTCTTTTGAGGACCTGGACAAAAATAAATATAAATGAGTGGTGAAAATCTTGAAACACATGAAATAGCACAATGAACTAACCAACAACTTTGACTTCCATGGCTGGGTCAGTGGCGTCAATGATAGCAATATTACTTGAACCAACGAGTCCATTTTTGGGAATAAGGTCTTTCATCTCTATTTTGAAAGGGCTTCCTAAACAAGAAAGAGATGAAAATCAATAAAACTGACACAATAATCAATATTTCACTTGAACCATACCTGGAACGTCTTCTTCGTTAAATATTATTCTGATATAATGAGATATTTTTTCCTGAGGTACAAATGTGACATCATAAAGACCTCTACTTTTCATATCAACCTCAGGACGGATTCCAGTTTTTCGGTTAGTAACCAGAATCTCAAGGGTTCCTTCACCAGCTTCAACGGCATCGACTAAACAAAAATAAAATGAAAGATAGTTTTAGTTAACTAATAATTAACTATGTCACAATGATTATTATAAGATGATCACTCACTTTGAAATGTAACGGGTTTACCAACTTCAAATGTATTTAATCCAGAAACTTTAACTTTAGAAACATCATAAACATTACAATTAAACGGACATCCATTGATTACTACTCCATCCAATATAATTGTGATTGCATGTGGACCTAAAAGTAGATGAAACCAGTAAATATAATGAGTTGACTACTTAAAATGTTGGTGATATATTGATGAACATAAACTAAACTGAAGAAAGATTTTTACAGTTCCATTGCAAACAGATTCTCATTGACTGTTCAATTGTTCACAATCTAAATCAAAGAACCATGAAATTGTCAACTATTAAGGGTTGGAAATAAGTTGAATCAAAGATTGTCAAAGTTCAAGATGAGCCATTCAATAAAATTGATCAAACCCAATCAAATTAATAGTGACATTTAAAGACAACTATTAGTGAAAATAATAATTGACTCTAATATTTAGCTCTAATATAATGCAAATTGTCCTAAATTGTCTTATTTGCTTTAATTAGAGGCTAATAAGAAGAAAAATTAAGGATGTTTCATTTGACAATCGAGACACAAAAAGCCATTCAATTTCTGATCAACTTTTTTGGGTTCATGTTAAATAGAGCTTACAAAGTTATCAAGCAATTTTGGTTGAATCAAAAGGATTATAATGATAACTTAAATCATCAATGACTTCACTAACCTGTTTGATTCAGTAAATTCATTAAGTATAACTACCAATCAATTCAAACCTTTTAATCAATATATTAAGATGATTAGTAACAAGCCTATTAGAAAAATTAGCTTAAAATGAATGATCAATTCGTTATTCATTGGTTTCATTCAGAATGATATGATGCGATTGAATTTCTTACTATTTAAATATCATTCAATATTCAGATCGATTATAATCCAAATAATCAAAGCTAAAAAATTTAATCCAATTTTTAAGATTTCATCAATTTGCTTATTTCTGATCATCACAAACCTTTTATCAACCAAAATATTTTGAAGCGATTCAAAAGCGTCTTTATTTGCAATAATAAATTGATATTATACAAAAAGTGATCAGAATTAAAATTTTTTCATAATTTCGGATGTCGAAAAGGCCTTCCGAAGATCCTGGCCTCAATGAATCTATCGATTTTGACTGATTATTTGAATCGAAACAAAGATTTGATTTACTGTCAAATTATATTTTCCCAATCGATAGAATCCCAGCTAAAAGTGAAAACACAGAAAAAATTGTTCTTCCAACTCTTGGTAGAGTTTCAGAATATTTCCATAAAAAGTTCAAGATCGAAATCTATTCTGATTAAACGACATTAACTATTACAACTGTTATGTGGATGAATTTTGTTGATCAAAACTATGACTCGGTTTCAATAATATTGGTTAAAAGATAAGTCATAATGAAATATATTTAGGTTTTGAGTAAACATCTGATTGATTGTTCTAGATCCATGTTATTTACCTGAATAATGAGCTGATTAACTTGAATCCTCTCAATCATAATGTAAAGAAACATTTTATTTACTAATATTATAGTCGATTGACATACAATCACAACTTTTTCAATCTATTTTTGTTTACTCATTTTTACAATTATGTTTGGCTAGCTTTCAATTCACCTGAAATTTCAAGTCAAATGATAACACGATTCATGTAAGCATATCAAGTTTCCTGTAAGTATGCGGTTATACATATAATTTGGGTAAAAATTTTGGGTTAAATTCCTTGATTTATTTATTTTCATGTATAAACATGTAAATATAAATAAACAAAATAACCATTATTCAACTGAGAAAAGTCATTAATCGTATTTTTATCAAAAAATCAGACGGAAGTAATTGTCATTAAAAGAAGTGTTGAGAAAAAAAAAATTGGGAAAAAATCAGCAAACCTTTCATTTTTTGTTTCATTTTTGCTCGCAAAGTTGACAGTTAACCTGTAAATGCAATCATGTCAACAATTGTGATCAAATGAGCTCATAAAGATTGAAGTGAATGAACAAATGAAACAAAATGATTATCTTATAGCTTTTGATTCTAATCAATTATAGTGGTCAATAATTTTTTGCTAATTTGAAGCAAGTGAATGAGTAAAAGTAATGAGTCGCTATGAATGGTTTATCAAGTAAATTGGCATGAAAATGAAACTGAAGATTAAAAATTGATGAACAGTTTAACCCATAAATCGAGTAGGAAGGTTGATTCGCTTAATCTTCAATCACTAACCTTTCCTTTCCATATCTAAACAATTTTAAAGATGAACTTGACCGAAATACCTGAAAATGTAAACCTTGATGAAGCAAAAGTTGATCATTTAACCAAAAATAACAGTTCAAAGTTTACCTCATTTTTCAAGTTTACATCTTGAATTCTTGAAATGATCTTCAGGATAAAACCAGAAAGAGAGACGGAATGATGATGAAGGGATGAGGAGGAATGAGGAGAGAGTCAATAAGAAGCTGAGAAAACTGGTTGCAAGGTATGTTAAGGAAATTTTCCGGTCAATGTTCTGTTAATGGACAAGTATTGAGATGTCTTGTTTGATCATCATTTTATCACCCTTTTCATCATTTATTGCCTTCCACGTGTAATTAAAATAAGTAATGAACGAGGAGAACTCAATTAACTTTTGTACAATCGATTTAAATCAAATATTTGGTGATCATTTTTGTTGATAAACAAGTTGTTGGATAGCCAATGAAACACACAATCGAGTGTATTAAAACATCAAATATTAAAACAAGATAACATCAATAAATTTGATGAAAACAGGTTAAAAGTGAAACAGATTTGTAAGTCTCTAATTAGATCAGATTAATACAGTAGGAAATCCGATAATAGATCAAGAATAATTTAATATCAAAATAAACAGACAATTTAGGGAATTGTGTCTTACCAATTTCAATGGGCATAAAGTTGACCCTGAAAGATCCTTTGAGTTTCTTGACCTCGGCGACCATTTTTTTACCATTATCACCTGCAATTGAATGATGATCAAAAAGAAAGTTGAAAATGAGAAAAGGACCCCCAAAGGTTTGGAGGAGACCAACAGTGTTGATTGTCATTGCTTGGGAAAAGAGATGTGAATATAAACTTACAAGTTACATGAACGACACAATCTTGAATACGATCGTTTTTATTTTCAATGGTAAAATCAATTCCTTTGGTTAAAGATGCCATTCGAAGTGCATCTCCAAGTATTACAGACTGAGAACTGTCAATCACTCTAACCATGAAAGGGCTTCCTGGTAAGTTAATCATGTAAATTGAAATAAGAAAATGAGTCGATTAGAAGAAGATTGTAAAATGTTTTGCTTTTTGTTGCTAAGATGGTTGGAAACATTTATTAATGGCAGACTGATAAGACTATTATTATCATCTAACCTGGCACTGATTCTCCGTTGAATTTAACATTAACCATGTGAACATCAGGTTCCATTGGTTTAAAGTTAACGCGAAATTTGGCATTTCCTTCTTTAATCACATAATTGTGAACATAGCGACCATTAACGGTAACAATTATCTCAAGGTTTCCAGCACCAGCTTGACTAGCGTCGACTGTAACAATAACAACAATCACATAATTAGTTTTTTATAATAGGAATGGTAATAATAAAACAATTGGTAGGAAAATGAATGAGGAAAAATTAAAATTGGTCAAAATTTTTACTTGAAAAGGACAGCAATTTTCCAATTTCACCGGCTGATGGTTCGGTGACTTTAACTCTTTTTGCATCATAAACACGAACCAAGAATGGACATGAGGAAACTGATTCGCCTCCCAATTTAATATCAATCATATGGTCACCAAGCTCAGTGGGTATAAATGATACTTTATAACCAACTTGTCCTTCCTCAATCAAATCAAATTTAACAGTCTTACTGGTTCCAGCTGAAAATAAGATAAAATGTAATGAAAAATATGACACATTTGCAAGGTTTATATTATTTACCGGTAATTGTTATCTGTTTTTCACTTAAAACAGTCCCATTGGTTTCAATGAAAAAGGTAACAAGAGAGTTAACTGGAACTTTGTCTAACCCATCTTTTTGGACAACAATTTTGGATAAATCTAGAACTGAACAAATGAATGGCGCACCTAAAAAAATGCAATCAAATCAACTAATTAATAGGACAATTCAATGGATAGAGTTGTTGTAATTTACCTTCAACAAGTTCACCATTAAATCTAATATCAATCTGATGGTTTTCAACTTCTTTAGGTAAAAATGTTATGGCATATTGACTTGAACCCAAAGCTTGAGGTGTTGAAGGCACATTTCCATTGTTAATGATAATCTCAAGATTACCGGGTCCAGCGTTTTTAGCTTCAACTAATCAGTTGATGATTGATAGGTTAACAGTAGGTAAAAAAGCAGAAATAGAGAAAATAAAGAAATTGTTAAAATGCGATAAATCAGAAGCAATCGTTTTTTTGATGTTACCAATGAATGTAACTGGTTTTCCGATCAGAATTTCTTTTGGCATCTCTTTCACCTTTATTTGTTTAATATCGTATATTTTTGTAGCAAATGGTGATCCATTGATTGGGTTTCCCTTGTATTTTATATCAATATGGTGTTCACCTGAAACAATGAAAAAAAGAGTAAAATTAATTTCAGATCTTTTCGCAAATACAAAGTCAAGAAGTAAATAAAGATATTGGTGTAAAAAAGTTACCGGTAAAATTTGGCAAAAAATCAATTTGAGCTCCAACATCATTTCCAGAAATTTTGGGTATTACTGGACCATTAGGACCTACAGATAAACGGATACTGTTAGATATGTTTTTTGGCATAAAATTTCAAATTTTACCTTTAATTGTAACTGAAAGGTCAGCTTCATCTGTAACATTGTGAACAATTGCTGTGGCCAATTGATTAACCGGAGCGTAAACCAAAGCAGAACCGGTTACACTTACTTTCTCCATCTCAGCACTGACCATTGCTGAATGTGAGAAAGGTTAATTAATTGGGTTTAAATTAAGTTGAAAATGGTTTATTAAAAGCCGTCCAATCTGTTGAAATGAAAGGATAAAAAGAGCAATTTAAGTAACCATTTTTTGAAAGATGAACCATTTTTGGTAGACTATTGTGTCAGTCAAGGTTAATTGTACAATTAAAGTAATATTGTTGTCATTTTTTATTTCATGTTTTACAATAAACTATATTTTCAACAATTTAAAACATTATTCATACTTGTTAACCTTCAGTTTCATTGAAAAATTCAAGGTTCACCTTTTCATGTAATCAATTTATTGTCACCAACAGAAAGTTATCAGTTTAATCAAAAGGTGTAATATTTGGATTTAACAGTAATGTTTAATTATTCAATTTGATTTACTTTGATCAAGGTAAAGATTTCATTGTGAGATGTTATTGATTGTCAAGTTGACTAAACATGATTTAAGGTAGTCATTGAAATGAAGCAAAACCTTCTTTTCATCCTTAATTTGGATAATCATGAAAGTTTAATATGATTAAGCAGATTTTTTTTCTTAATAGTCATTGGCTTCTTTGATTAACAAGTGAGAATGCAATTATCTGCTTCTTGTGACTGATTTCACTGAATTAAGTTAATTATAATGTTATGTTGGTATAAATGTTTTAATTTGGTTGAATAGACATATAACCACTAATGATAGTTATTAGATTGAAGAGTGAGAATCAAGTGAATTATGACAAAATAACAATTAACTGGAGATGGTTAGGAAAGTTAAACTTGCAATTTAACTATAAAGTACATCAATTAGACATGATCAACTCTACTAATCAATCATAATAATATCAAATGGAAATATTGATCGTAACAAAACCGGTTGGCAACAATTAATGGGTAAAATTGAAATCACAGATCAACAATTGCTTTTTCAATGCTCAAATGTACTTATTTTGAATTAACCTGAAAACTGGATTCTTATTGGATTATTATTTGAATATAATCAAATGAGAGTTTTAATATTGTTTGAAAATATCTTCAACCTTGAATATTGATTCAGATGAAACTCAGACAATTGATGACAATTGAACAAGAAAATTTAAATTATAAGTTGAGTTGTTTGATTAAATTTTTCAATTACATGAATCAAACTAATGTCAAGACAATTTGCTTTGGTTGTTAGATTTGAAAAGATTTAGATGAAAAGATGAAAAGCAAAATGATACAAGACGTTCAATGAATGATGTTTGGTCAACCAAATGAAATTAACGAATAGTCAAGTAATTGTAAACAATCAACATGAACAATCAGGACAGAATCATGATAACAATGAATGGGATGAACTATTTCCCTTTCAGTTTTTTTACCTGTTAACTGGCTCAGTGATTTTACAGTATTCAAATATAACAATCACCAGAGTCTGAAATGTTATGAATAGATAACATTTATAGTGATTGTAATCAAGATTATTAAGAAAGCTATTATTGTCTGATTTCTTAATTAACTTGATATCCTTAAGGTAATACAGTTGGTTTATAAATTGCAAAAAAAAGCTGAAAATGATATTTAACTGCAATCTAAATAGCTATTGGATTGAAACACAGATTTTAATTAAAATAGAGTCGACTTGAAAATTATAATGTCAATGAGCGAAATGGTGACAAAAACATTAGAAATGACAATTAATTATTTATAGTAAAAGTAAATCTTAAAATCACTATTTATAGAGCATTAGTTTTGATTACAATTCAAGATTTTGATTAATGATACAATGGAAAATTGTAATTAAAATTATCAACTGTAATTTAGATGCAAATCGTCTTGGAAAACATTGAAAATGTAAATTTGATTGTGATGTCAAGATTGATCAAGTTGAAGCAACTTTTTTGTATTCTCATTGAAAATGAAAGCCAACAGGTTCATTATTGATTATCAAATGTAACAATGTTGATGAATAGTGAATCGACTCTCAGCATGATGAAATTATGATATATATATAGTTATGAGAAATCGTTATTAAATAAGAAACAAAATAATTTAGTTTGATGAAAAAATGAGTAAAATGTTGATGTGTTCATTTCAATCAATTTTGTCTGAATAGGCAACAATAACCTTATTTTCAGTCTGTTTCTTGATTGTTCACTTTGATTGTACAATTGTAAATATGATGATAATAATACATCTTTTTTAATAAGTGAAACAATCAATGAAATCATTTGCTCACGATTAGGTAAAACATATCATTTTGGAAGCTCACAAAATGATCAATAATTACTGTTAACTATTCAAGTTTAACTTGAAACTTGGATTAACAACAATTAACAACAAAACTCATCAGTCACTGACATTAACATTAGGAAACATTAAAATCATTAAACTTGACAATAGGGTTTGAATTTAGTTGAGATATTCCCTGCTGATTGTATTCATTAATTTACAAGCCAATGATTTTTATTAATTCAATATTTTCTAAGATTTCCAGATAGTTGAAGGGTGAACAATTATAATTAACAACTCTACCTTGATTTAAATCTGGTATAACGAATCACAAAGAAAAAGCTTATTCCGACTTTTATTATGTTATTTGAAGTTGCTGAACACACAGAAAAGAAATCTTCTGATTCTTATTTTTTGCCATCAGATTGTTGACCACATTTCCTGAAATGGCTTAAACGGTTAACAGCTAAAATTAAATCATTAAAGCTTGGAATTATGATTTGAAAAGATGAGATTTGAAGAAATGGTGAGTTTCTTGGTTGGTTCAAAAGATACATTATGTTGAAGTATAGAGTTTAATATTTCTAACTTAGTGACAACATGGAATGATCAGACAACGTTTAAAACAAGGATTGATTTATCTGATATTCATTATGCTTGTTGATCGTGAAACAGTATGCCAGCAATTATTCACAAACAAGATGAATTTTGGTCGTTCCCTGATCAAATCAGAGAAATTGACTTCTTCTATTGGTGCTATCCATCAAACAAGATATTTTTACTGGCCATCAGCGTTTGATCATCGTTTCTCGGAAAAACCAATACAATTGATAAATTATTATGATTGGATCAATAACAAACCAGTACAATTGTACCAGACTAGTAGTGATTCTTCAGTAGCAGATCGTCGACAATTGGAAACATTTGGCACTCCAGTGCTAATATCGACCAATTTAGCGACTCAACCAGGTGCAACAGTGAGTCCGTTTACAAGTTCATTTGTTAATTCAGATGGTGATTTGGGTGATCGATGGGATCGAAATGTTTGGTTTTGGCCATTAATATTAGCAACAGCGTTACCGATAGTTATTGGTGCAATAGTTCTTCCATTGGCTGTTTTTTTCTTGATTGAATTGATTTTCATTCTGTTAATGATGAGAAACCAAGCTGTTACGGTGACTCCTATTGCTGGACAGAATGGTAATCGGCATCGAACTCGACGGCAAAAGAGAGATAATCTTTCACAAAAATTAATTAAATTGAGTCCAACCATTTATTCAAATCAATATTATCTTGCTACTTATAATAATCAACTCATTGATTTAGTGGAACAACGGTTTCTTCATTCCTTTGTCAATTACAAATATAGTGATCTTGCTTGATTTATTTTGAATAAAATTTTGAAACGTTACTGATTTGCTCACTAGAAAATTATTAAACCTTATAAGTTATAACTAATATTTAAACCTTTAGAGATCGATGAAAAGTGATCTCGATTGACTTGACAAACTTTTCAATGCTGCATAATGATAATGTTTGATCATTTTATTTACACATAAGATACGAAATAAACTAATTAAAAGGTTATAATTAAATTTAAAATATGTTTTTTTGTTGGTGTTGGTAATTGAAAAAACAAGCAATTCTAATGTAAAAGAAATTTGTATTTCTTTTGAACTTTCTGATGATGATGATCAGTGATAAATAAAGTCAAATTTTGAGATGGCTAAAGATCATGAAGAATCATCGTTAAAACAAAATACTTATAAGAAAACTTAACAAGATTCAGGTTGAGATGTTCAACAAAATGAACCAGATTATAAACAAAACAGACAAATCATCTTCCTTTTGTGCTTCAATTTTAATTTCAATTGCAATTAAAATTATTATCATAAAGAGGTCAAAGTTAATTTTGAGTTTTAATTATGATACAAATGTTGATTTGGTTTCTAAGCTGATTCCAAGTAATTTCAATTGTTTAACATGATGGGTTGAAATGAGACAATGAAATAGCTGAGCATCAATTGTCAATTTGGATTGAATTGAAATTTTTGGGTAAAATTTTGAGGTAAAAAAAAGAGGATTTCCTGTAATTTGGGTTAATAAACAATTGATTGTAACCAGTGTAACACAAATCACTAAACATGCTCTTCTTGAATTAGTTCAACAATTAACTGAAGCCTGTTAGGAAAGGAATGAAAACAATTAACAAAAATAGCTTACAATTAATTTTCAATGTCAAGGAATTAAACAAAACAAACTTGAAACAAATTCTCATGTGAAAAAGTGTAAAATATGATTATAATTATAATCATGAAGATGAGGAACAAGTGAATAACAATAAAGATGATGATAACCTAGTAACTATGAGTTTCTCATGGTAACCATTTCAAGACAATTCAAAACAAACATTATGTTTGTGACAATTGGCTCAACTGTTATCAACTAATGATGGTAAAATTATAATTGAGAATGGATAATGAGACAATTAACATAGACGATGCCGAGGTGATCATGAAATCTGATGAAAGTAAAACAATCAGTATTGGTGAAAACAGTGAAGATAAATTGACCAGAATGAAAACCCCAGCTTTACCGTCAGCCATGTCATCTTCCTCTTTGGGTAAACCTTCAGGATCAACATCAATAATGATGACAACCGTTAAACCACCAAGTAATGAGTTGCGGTGTAAACAGGCTTACAACTGGTTGTTACATTTACATTATGTGCGAGGTGAGTACGACTTTTGCTGTGACCAAATCAATCGGATTGAATGTACATCGGAATATTCGTGGTACCTTAAAGGGTTGATTTCATTGCGTGACAAGGGCAATGTCAAGGAAGCTTTGGGTTACTTTAACCAAATCAAATCACTGTCCAATGTGTATTACATTAAAGCGGTCATCAGATGTCTTTTGCTTCTTGGCCGGCACACTGAGGTGTCTGAGGTAATCCGTGAAACTGGTTTACGAATGGCTCCAAATGATTGGCAATTGTGGTTCATTTTGGGCAATTGTTACTTTCATTCGGGTAACATTCCGTTGGCCAAAGATGCCTACCAACATTCACTGCAAAATTCAAATACTGTTGAACCATTCCTGCTGCTTGCCCAGTGCCATTCAATTGAAGGTGACTCCAAGTCGGCCATTTTTGTCTTGAGACGAGCAGCAGAGTGAGTAATTATTTTTATCCATTTAGATGATTATCATGATAATAATGGTCATCATCAACTTGTCATCAATCTCATTCTCCAATAACTTTTGTCCTGTTTTACTTTCGATGAGCATTTTTTTCGTGATTCTCACGAACCTGAAACTTCATTATAAAGCTATAATACCTAAAAAACAATCAAATATCCTCATCAGTTTCATTTTGTTAGCTTGTGGACACCAACCTTTTCAATACAGATGAAATATACAAAAAAGGCTCATCACACATTTAATCATTCATTTTCAAAAATTGATCGTGATCACAATCATCAATTAACGCTACCAGAATTAGAATGAAATTTGATGTACTCTCAATTCCCTTTCGCTCTCAGATTTATCATCAAATTTAAAATTTTTTTAAGCACATACACCATGCACGATCTTTTATTGTTCAAACTTGAATGGTGTATGAAGCAAAAATTTATGAAAAACCATCATAACAATTGCTGGCTAAACTTGAGGCATAAGAAAATCAAATCAAATACACGTTTGTAAACCGTTTTATTTAAATAATGGTTTACGATAGGATTCACTGTTTTTTTTTCAGCTAACAATTAGCAAATGGTGAAAAGGGCAAAGTATGAATGTAAAACTGACAAAAGTAAAAAAAATGATACACTTTTTGATAGTATTTAACTTCTCTTGGGTTCAACTTTCTGGTATCACATGCTACCATCAATTTGGTTTATGCTAACCAACTCACTCCTTTGGTTTCCTCTTTACTTGTTTACTCTCTACGTATTACCCAATTTTACCTAAAGGCAAACAGTTTCAAGTTAATCTAGTTCCGTAATTCAAGAAATGAGATGAAGAGAAGAGAAAGAGAGGGGAGATGAGATGAGATGAAAAGGATGAAGAAAGTTGTTTGAAGCGATTCAAGATGCAGCTAACTTGCATCGGTAATAACCAGCATCTTTATTCTACAATCTCTCCAATATTTGCTTCCATTTCTAAGCTTTCAACGCCAAAGCTTGTTATAAATATGACTTGGTGAGAAATGAACACTGAATTGTTAATCCGTCAATAGCAAGGAATACAGATGATAAGGAAAAAACAAGCCAAATATATCTATTGCACTACCAAAGATAATTTTTGTAGATTCCAGTCTATATACATAAGATTTAATGGTTGTTTTATTCAACTTTATAGAATAGTAACACTAATGAAGCAAGACACTTCTGATTATAACAACAAATTTGTAGCAAAATTAAAAAAATCACAGCTAAATGAACACCATGTTTTGACAATAGATGACACAGTAAAAGTAGACTATTAGCAAGACATGCATAAACAAAGAAACACGGAGTCACTGAGTTACATTAAAGCGGATATCACCATATTTACTGATTGAATTTAATCAAGATACGATTTTGAAGCAAGATGTACAATTAACAATAACACAGTAGCACAACTAATAATAAACATAGTTAATTACATACCTGATTATTGAAAGATGTAGACAATAACAAAAGGTGATAAAACAAAGTAAAGGTTTATCTTGTTGGTATATGTATATTATTGACTGTGTATATCTCCAGAATTATACCAAAAATTAACAGATGGAAATAGTGATCCAACAAATAAAATGAAGCAAAAATTGGTTTTAATAATCCAAATAACACACAAACTAAATATTACATGAAAAAAAGTTGCTTGTTGACTTGTTGATAGTTGGTTTAGTTGGTTCATGTCATTTTAGCAATAGCTGTTAACCGGTTTCAACTTTTGGGTACTCTTAGGTCTTCATCAACTCATGCCCTCTTTAGGCAATCAAAATAATTAATTTTAAAATGTAAAATTTTTCAACATTATAAATCAGCTGAGAGTGAACAATTTTGCTGGTTAATTGGCTTTATTTTGATTATCCTTCATTCAATAAACTTTGATTTGAAAGCTAACCCTTTCCCTCTCATTATCATCATGAATCGAGAGAAAGATTAGCAAGGAAAATTAAGCAAGAGACACAAAAAAGAGGTTAAAGTGTTTAAGTTTGTTGATGAAGCGAAATCATGCTTAAACAAACTAACTTGAGTAAATCAATTTAACAACTAACAGTAACATCAATAATCTTGATTATTTATTTGAAACTCCTCACACAAAAGGATAACAAAAACAGTTTTCATAAGTTGTAATTATTTTTGGTGTCAGGTACAATTGATTTGACCTTAAATCAAGCAATAATCTACTACAAGCTTCGCTCAGTCCATTAGTAAATCATTTTTGGTAAAATTGATTACCTTTTTCAGTCACTTTTTTTTCTCTGATTGTCACATCAAATCTAATTTAAAAGACTCCATTAACTGAGCTCATTCAATTGTCCAATAAATGTCTTGTTTGCTTCATTTCATTGCCAGAATTTCACCAGATAATATTCCGGTTGCTATACGCTTGGGTCAACTATTGATGGAAAGTGAAATGAAATCAAAAGGAATCGAAAAGTTTATCCAGTTAAATCAAATGACCATCCATACAAGAGGAAATCTTGACCTTTCATTGGCTGTTGGATCAATTTTACTTGAAACTAGAGGTGATGTTGAAGCTGCTTTGTACAAGTACAAGTTATCTGAATGCTACGAATCACCAAGTATATGGAATAATGTTGGACTTTGTTTTGCTTCCAGAAAGAAATACGTTGCTGCTGTTAGCTGTATTAAGCGAGCTCTTTATTTAAATCCATTAGATCATCGGATTAACTTTAATTTAGGTCTTCTATCATTACAATTGAGACAATTTGCAAGTGGATTTCATTACTTTAAAACTGCTTGTGCTCTTTGTAAGGCCTCATCAGCCAATGTCATCTTTTCATTGCTTGCAGTTTCCTTGGAATCACTTTCTGATGATATTAATGCTAGACAAGCTCATATAACAGCAATTAGAGGCTTAGAAAAGATGACCGTTTTCTCGCCCATTCCGCTGATTAATTATGCCGTTTATCTGTATAACAAAGATAAATCAGAATGTAAAGAAATGATTATGGAGCTTTTGATGACACTGGAACAGTTTTGGTTGAACCGTAAACAACAATCTGGAAATGGGAATAATGGTGCTTTGAATGAATTTGAGGAATCTTTCATGAAGACTGCAACGCAATTATCAACTTTATTGAACATTAACTCCCACATGGCTTGGTCAAGGAAAGATTCATCGACCACTTAAATTTTAAACATTAATTTATTAATAAACTGTGAAATAACAAATTATTTGTTTAGTCATTGTAAATTTACTTATAAAAGATCCCAATCGATGACAAATGGTTCTCCGTCCCTGTTGAATAGGTTTATTTTGTAGCGATCTTCCATGTCCCTGAATTAAAAAAGTAAAAGCATTAGATTTGTAATTTTGACAAAGGCTCAGTTTACTTACTTGTCAACAAATTGAACCCTAAACCTTTTATGAAGAATCAAATCTCTGAAATTATCCCTGATGAAAGAAGATACAATAAAGCAAAATGTATTAGAAAAAATTGCATGAATATAAACATCAGGTAAAAATTTGGGCTGATTATTAAGATTCTTACATGACTTGGTCAGTAATGGATATTCCTCGAGGAACATTGACAGCACAGTGAACAGCGGCTGGAGGTAATGTTGCGAATTTTGGTTTCAATGAAAGGACTTCTCTTCTATCAACCATCAACTCAACTCCTGTGTCGATATTCATGATATGGAGTTCGTCCTCGTCGTAGCTCATGTCTATCACTCTTCCACGAAAGAAGACAGAATCACTTCTAGCAGCAACAAGACTTCCAATCGCTGGATAAATTAAGAAATTTTCCTTGTTTTCTGCTCTTCGATAGAAGTCAGTCATTTCCTTGGTTAAGTTGAGGTAATTTTCCAATGTTGGATCGATGAAATCATAATGAGCACCTACTCTCGACTCAAAATTCTGTTCAAGAAATATGTCCTCAGTAGGTTTAACATAAAGGGAATATGGGCTTAAACATTCAGTTACAATCGCTTTCAAGCTCATTCCTACTTTGACGAGCTCTGATTGAAAAGTGTCGATAAGCACTTCTTCAGTGTCCAAGGAATCCACTGAAAATAAAAAATGAACAAAATAATGAACAATTATCACATTTTAATAATACTTGAATTGAATTTCAGATAACTTACTTTGATCATTTTTCAAGTGTTTATAAACACAGCTTTCACCATATTTACAATAACCGTTCAAAAAATGTTGGCAAACTTTATCCAAATCTCCACTCTTGTATCCTAAAATTGCTGTTCCAGTATCCGAAGGGTCAAATGCATAAGTATTTGTCAAAGCCCTATGGTCTTCTTTCATTGGATCCCAATCATCAGGAATCTCTTCGTCGATTGAGCTGATTGATGATGAGCGTTTAACCTGAAAGATAAAAAATGCAATTAGTAACTTTTAATAAACTTAGAGTAAACCGAAGGTAGTGTGATAATTTAGTAAACTAGTGGTTTTAATTTAAAATTAGCTTTTATTAATCAAATTCTGAAAGGCTTGCAATGGATTATGGGCCAGTTTTAGGGATATCTGATATGTCTATAAAGTTAAAGATTAAATGACGCCTTCAAATTAAGTTTAATTGGTTTAAGATTATGTAATATTTTCAATAGATGGCGGTGATGTTAGTAATACCAATTTTAGTTAATCAAACATATTCGTGATTGATTGGCTTTTTAACGCTTGATTGAGTGATGATAAATTATGATATTAAAGGGAAAAATTTATGCATTAGATTTTAGTGCAAAATTATTTAAATCTAATTACAGTCAATCCTCGAGTTTTTGATTTTTTGGAGTGCTGACATCTATGTTAACTTAAAGTGGAAAACTTTAATTTTGCAGTTTAAACAATTAGTCCACTCTAATGACTATCATGCTCATTGTTCAAATGAATGAATATGTAATGTTTATAGTTGCATGCTGGACAAATCAAAATACTCACTGAAAGCAAGTCAAATGAATTTGATTTGACTTGTTAGCAAGCTGCAAATTTATTTCTGATTTTAAATCATCAAATTGAATGATAGCAAAATGATTGGACAATTGTTCTTGAATATCATCCAATTGATAAGTGTCATTGAATAAATGAATGTAAAATTCACTTGGATCGACTAGAGCTGAAACCACGCAGAAATGATATTCAGCCAGTGGGAGTGAAGGAGGTGGAATTGAATAAAGATGACAGCCATTTTCAAGAATAGTAATAAGATGGGAAATCGGACAATATTCTGGTTCATCAAATTCATCGCACTCTTCCTCGTACAATTTTTCTCCTTCTCCACTTGTCTCCAAATATTCTGAACCATATTAACAACTTTATCATCATGATCACTGTATTCATTTTCATCGGCATTTATATAATTTTCATTAGTATTGGAATTTGTCAACTCTTCACATTCACCAGATTTCACTTTGTTTAAATTACTTTGATTAGTTAGATCTTTATTGAAGATTTTGTCTTCTAATTTAACAGGATAGAAGTCTTGATCTTGTTCAACAAAATTATCGTTTTCAGCATCGCGATCAACACCAATTTTATCAACCCAATTAACATTAACAACATGATTAATACTCGATGCACTTACTTTTCGTGGGTCTTCATCGGTTTCTTCCTGTTCGTAAGCTTCATTCAATTTTTCTTCAAATGATAAGTTTTCGGCCAATGATCCATCAGAAAGCGATTTGGATTTGTTCAGGTTTAGATGTTTCTCTGCGTGTGATTGGAGCATCTTTTCGGCGATGGCAATGCAAGCTTCTTTCGTTTCAAAATCACCAATAAGTGGATGAATACAGATGCAGCCTGGAACACCAGTAATATCACAAAGCTTGTGTTGACTTAAACCGTACCAATGAGAATGGAAAGGAATACGAAGCTCACTTAACGAATAGCTAACAGGGACACAGGATAATCTCCAAATCCCAGAGACATCATACAAAATGGCAAACTTAATCTGCCCTTCAATATTTAACTCTCTTTCAATGTTAATCAAATGCTCGATCCATGGCATTTCTCCAGATTGGCTTAAATCAATTATGGCTCCCGAAGAATGTACTTCCTCACAGTTTAATAAAGCTTCTTTGACAAAAGTCTTTGCTGGTAACCAAATATTGCCATAGTACTGCGTTATATCTACAAATTCGTTACCAACAAGAACGATGGCTTGTGTAAACCTTAGGAAAAAAGAAAAGTATTGATTAAGTATTGACTTTAAAGGCACTAAATAATAGGACAAACTATTATATCGCTTACCTTTCAGCGAGATCATTTTCCGTATCATCTAATGAAGTGTTTGATCTTAAGCGGTTGATACGAGACGTCAAATCGGTACCAATTTTAAAGTTAGGTTCACCTTCACAAATGGCAGTACGATTGGCCATAGCGTCAATTTCTTGGACAAAATTTTCATAAATCACATCAAAAAGGGCTTCAACTTCATCCTTGAAACACGGTTCGGTTAGACCAAGAATCTTTGCAATGACATCCCTTCCATAATGATGATAAACAAGTCCAGCACAGCTTAATTTAATTTTGAACGATTTACTTGGGTCCAGTGATTTTAAAGTTAAATCAAGATGATGGTGGTCATAACGTTGCTTATTATGATCATAAACTGATCCAACACCAATCACAAAATCACTTTTACCAATAATAGCAGAATCTTTTGTCCTTATTATATTTGGTGTGACATGGAGCAGCTTTTTAATTAAATAACAGGCAAAAACTTGGTCACAATGAAAATCTTCATCGTAGGTACAAACTGTATGAGCCATTTTTTGGAAAAAACCTCGAAAAACTGAAATAAATAATAACAAAATAAAAGAAGAGCACAAATTATAAACTTAACGCAAGACAGTAAAAAGATCAGTGAGAAAGGCAAAAATAAATAAAACGTAAAAATTGGAAAAAGTCATTTTAACCAATGACCAGGAAGATTTTTGCAAGAATTAGCTTTTTTAAACTTGATAAGTTAAGCTATTGAGCATTAATGTGTATTTAATAGCAAAGAGAATAAATGCTAGGAATTGGTTCAGATAATTATCGAGAAAATTATTTGTTTGGCTGTGAATCCATCGAGTGAAGGTCAATTTTTTGTGGGAAAAGGATGACAGAAGTAGATTGAACGAAAGGCTAGTCTATTTTAAGCATTGTCAACTTTCCAAGTAACTTAACCAAGTTTCAATACATGGATCAGTCACTTAAGCAAGATTCACTCACATTTCCTACTCCATTGAAATTTTTGAAAAACCTATCACATTAATGCTTATTTATCTAACTGATACATTGACCAATAAAACTTGATAAAATCAATAATTAAGTCCTAGATGTATCGAAACCGTTGAAAAGCGCTTTTTCAAATGTCTATCATAGCAAAAGTAAAAGGTCTTAGAGTGAGAGTAAAGAGATGGCATAAAAATAATGCATCGATACGCTAATTTGATTTAAGAAGCTTCTTTGGTAAAACAACTCATAATAACACAGTAGATTAACAATAAATGGCAAACAAATTTAAATACATACCTTTTAATTGGGATAAGATGACAAAAGCTTATTAACAAACTTGTAAATAAAGGTTTATCCTGGTTAAAGGTATCCTCTTGACTGGCTTTGTTCAATCTGATGTAATATGTAAAAAAGATGAACACAGCAGGCAAATGAACTTTTAGTCACTTCACTAAGCAAAAAGAAACAATAAGAATAATTGAATTTTTTCCTCTTCACTCTGTAAAGTGTCTATCTATCAACAGATAACACGAAACCCGCTATTTGTCTGTGTGAAAAAAGCTATTTCAACCAATAGCCAAAAAGTATGGTAAACACAAAAAGCGATATGTTATAACTGATAAGATATCACAAGACTGGTCTATTTAAGCTTGATCATAACAAAATATTTGCGAAGATTTTAAAGAGATGAGAAAGGAGTTTCAAGTATGGATTTGCAAAGATTTTCAAGTTATTGATAATTTGTATATGATTGTTTCTGTTTTATCTAAATAAATTGTCCAGTTATCTTTTAATCTAAAATAAAGCCTCACATTTGTCAACACAATCTTGAGAGCGTCGTATCTCATTTCCAATTCATACATTAATTTTTAGATCCATAGACTCACAACATTGTCAGAACATTTTTAGCTATTAGGTCCAAGTACTTAATTTAGATTACAGGATTTTACTTAATGAAAAATTCATAAAACAAAATGATAAATCAAAGAAAATGAAGCGAACAATATAATAATAGAATCTGATGGACCATTCACAAGTCAATCAACTGCACAGACAGAAAATTGCACGGAACATTATTTTTTCCTTTCGAGTTGTAATCTCTCTTTCATCTGAAAGATATTACTTTTAGATTTACAATGCTAAACATTAAAATTTTGTAGTTTTCTTTCAACTCGAATGAGCCTCCTTATCATCTCCAATTGTAATATATTCAATTAATAAGTTCAATTGTCATTTCCGTTGTTAGCATAGTCATTCTGGTAAAAGTAGCTTCAGACTCGTTATGAGCTTGTCTGACTAAATTTTTGAGCTGAAAACAATTTTCGGTCATGGATTGTACACTCGAACATGTAAATAAATGTTGATCATGAGCTGACTTACAGTGGCATCGATTGCCCGAATTTCTAGATGAGATTTCTTAGCTCAATTTGTGTTAGTCAAATCTTGATGTAATGAGTTATTCAAGTTATTGACTTGATGTTCAATCTACCTGACAATTCTGGTTGAATTTGTTTTGTACATTGAATTGCTGACTAAAGTTGACTAAATATCAGGAAAGACCATGTTATGATATTGAACAAATTGAATATCCTTGATATCAATTTAAATGACAAAACTTGAAGCAACATCTGAGCTAAGTCAAAAATTGAACATGAAGTGAAATGATTAAAGATCAATGATCAACCAGACAGTTGATTGTTTTGATGAGTCAAAACAACCCAAATTACAGGATTACTTGGTAATTGTTAAAATAAAGTGAATGGAAGAGGAAAATCTGTTTGTAAATTTTAGAGCTGTGACCCTGAGTCAATATACATCCATCTAGTTATATCCAAAATTGGAGCTGGGGTGAGCAATTGGCAAGCATTTTAGGAACCAGAGCCAAGTTATATTTTTGGAAATTTGAATAAGCTTTGTAATTATTTGAAGGAAGAGCAAAAACCAAGAGAGGGCCGAAAAGTCTTTCTCTTAATTCTTCTATCTTAATCATCCTTGCATCTTCCTTTCCCATCTGATTCTGAATCACCGATCCTGGAAACCTAATCTTTCATCATATATTCATCTTTTCATCCCACCACCTTATTTTTCTCTTCCTTTTATTCGGATCTCTGTCTTTTGCTTGCTCTTCATCGTCTTCATCTAGTATCATCTCATAAGCCCAACATAGAGTTATATAAATATTGTCCCTGGTCTTCATTTTGATAATTGTTACACAAACCATTACTCTAAAAATAAGGAAAAAAAAGATGGAGATATAAAAATTTTTATAATTGTTTTGTTTTATGACTAATTGAATACCAATTGTGGATACGTACCTTAATTTTGTTTTATTTGTGCACCAGTTCATTGGTCATCTGTGATTTTTGAACGTTCATATAAATGCTCTACTTGTGTTATGTTATTGTTTGTTGATCATCCTGTTGCTTCAATGTGAACTATTGTTTTCATCATTATCATCATCCAAAGTATATCTACTCATTTAAAACGAATCATTTCGAAAGGATAAAAGTTAATCAATAACGAAATATGGGGGTAAGTTTATCAAATGTTGGATTATCAATTCGCAGGTCAAAGATTCAATAAATTTAAAATCTATTTTGCGAATCAAATAACAGATTTAGGTGTGATGAATGCATTGACTAACTAATAAGTGATCAAAGTCGTATTTGAGAAAAATTAATCAGCTTGAGAAGTTCCAGAAAACATCGATGTAATCGTGCTAATTAATGTACAAACGTACATTTGCTTGTTAAATTGCTACTATAAATGAAACGAATGTAACGCTTTAGTTTATTTCGTTTCAGGAAACAATGGAATTAAAACGTAAGATGAGGCCACTTCGAATCCGAATGTTGGATGGATCAGTAAAAACGGTTCTTGTTGATGAATCCCAAACAGTGGCCAATCTAATGGTAGTTATTTGTACTAAAATAGGTGAGTAAAAATGTAGAGTGTTAAAAATTTTCGTATATTGAAGTCATCAGTAAACTTTAAATTATTAATAGTTAACCCATACTTACAAGTGAAAAAAACAGAGCAGTTCAAATTGTTACAGAGTAACTTTGAAATAAACATGAATCATGATAAACATTGGAAATTGCGTGCGTAATATGAGAGGAAGAGATGAGATCTTTGAAAGATCTTTCCATTAAATTATCCTTAATGATTTTACCCTTTGGTGGTATTTTACACAACAAGAGTAATCTTGATCTAAGCAGCAATCGTTGATAGCCTAGTGAAGCCAAGTTGATGGTAAACAACAATTTAAACTAAAACACATGATGAAGAGTGTCTTGAATAGTAATCAAAATTGATTGTGATTTGATGCGATGTGGGTATGAAATCTTAACCTCGTTTTGAAACATGAATTTTCCCCAAAATTTATTTTCTTTTTGGCAGCCACAAGTGTCTATGTGTTCCCATTTCCAGTAGACCTTAGAAATTAGTAATAGTTATCCAATAAGATTGTCAGAATAAAATCATGATTATTCAAGCTAACACCCACAGGGAAATAAACAAAAAAGATTACTCTTTTTTCCTCTTATGTGTGAATAAAAAATAGAAACCATCCAAGATACCAAAGTAAATGTGGGTTTATGAGTTAATAGAGTATGTTTGGTTTATCGTTTACTGTATGAATTTTTGGAAGGAAACAGCAAGGATAGCAACAATTATCTATTACTGTCAGATATTTTAAATTGTCGTTGATTTATCTTTTATCTGATGCTTCCTATCGAATGGCTTTGTTTTTGTTTCATTTCATATAATATAATCTCTTTTGTATTTGAGGTATAACAAATCACGACGAGTATAGTTTGGTCCGGGAAACTGCTGATGAGCCCAAAGAATCTGATTATTCAACTCGAACGTTGACACTTCGCCGTGAAAAACGTGACAAAGATAAAACGTTAGACCGAACGATGGAACAGTTGAAGAAAAAGTTGAAGACTGATGATGATCTTGATTGGGTTGACCATTCAAAAACTTTAACTCAACAGGGAATTGGTGAAGATGAAACATTACTTTTGAGACGTAAATTTTTCTTCTCTGATTCCAATATTGATTCGGGTGATCCAGTACAGTTAAATTTATTGTATGTTCAAACTCGTGATGCTATAATTAATGGAACTCATCCAGTGACTCAAGATCAAGCGGTTACCTTTGCTGGTATTCAGTGTCAAATACAGTTTGGTGACCATTCAGAGGCAAAACATCGACCAGGTTTTCTTGATCTCAAGGATTATCTTCCCAAGGAATGGGTTAAAGTAAAAGGAATTGAGAAACGTATTTTCACTGTACATCGTCGCCAATTTGGTCTCACTGAGCTTGACGCTAAAGTTAAATATGTTCAGCTAGCTCGATCATTGAAAACTTATGGAGTAACCTTTTTTCTGGTTAAGGAAAAAATGAAGGGTAAAAACAAATTATCACCAAGACTATTAGGAGTAACTAAGGATTCAGTTTTACGCTTGGATGAGAGGACCAAAGAAATACTTGAAACATGGCCGTTGACCACAGTAAAACGATGGGCTGCCTCACCAAATTCATTCACTCTCGATTTTGGAGACTATTCTGATTCCTATTATTCAGTCCAAACAGGGGAAGGTGAACAGATATCTCAATTGATAGCAGGTTACATTGATATCATCTTGAAAAGGAAAAAGGCCAAAGACCATTTTGGTATTGAAGGTGATGAAGGTTCAACCATGGTGGAAGATTCAGTTGCTCCTTATAAAGCTACGATACTTCAATATCAACCTGCACCATTACCAAAACTAGCTCAACCCGAAGTTAACTCCATTGCCATGCCTGCTGTCCTTAGAGCGGCCACTAAGGAACCTGAAATATTCGTTGAACGATCTATACCTCCAGTTCAAATGACTACGATTAAGGGTCATGCTCATGTCGGTCATGTACCAAGTAGTGAAGTTAAGAAACCGGCTATCCATTCAACTGGACTTTCAGGACCTCAGAGAGCTCTATTGTCAACAATTGAAGCTGGTAAAGAGGTTATTAAAAAGGCTGAAAAAGAGTTATCATCTAAGGCTAGGTTACCTGATATTGGTAATGACCCAAGTGCCAAAAAATGGAAACAAAGTCAAATGGATGTCAAAAAACAAAACGTAGCCTCTCAATTATCTGCGATGAATGCAGCTACCGCTCAATTAGTAACATTAACTGGAGTTCCACCAAAGGAATTGGAAACAATGGCACCTGCTATTGGAGCAGCTGTATCGACCATTACATCCAATTTACCAGAAATGTCCAAAGATGTTAGAGTTATCGCAACTTTGATGGAGGATGAGGCTAAAGGCGATGAATTGTTAGACGCAGCACGTAGATTGTGTAAAGCATTCTCTGATCTTTTGAAGGCAGCAGAACCAACAAGTAAAGCAAGTCGCCCTCAACTTCTCAACTCAGCAGGTCGGGTTGGTGAAGCCTCCCAAGCAGTACTAGCAACAATCGGCGAGGAGGAAGAATACGATAAAGAGACAGCAGATATACTTTTAGCAATAGCCAAACACGTTGCTAATGCAGCAGCTTCTTTGGTACTCAAAGCTAAAGATGTTGCATCTAAATGCGATGACACTGATCAAGGTAATTATTCTTTTAAGTGAATTGACCCAATGAATGAATTTATGCCGTTTAATTACCGGTATATCACTGCTGAATAATAAAAAGTCTAAAATGATAGGAAAAGATTTTGAGAAACGGTACAAAAAATACTAGAGAATCGAATAGTAACACTTACGTAACTAAAAGACTTTCCCAAGACATCTCATTGAACAGAATTAAATCAGCATAAATATAATTCACTTAATTTGAATCATAACAAATATTAACAAATCAAAAAAAATTAAGACGAACAATTCAGTAAATTAAATTTACTGTTAAACTGAAAGGGTAACGTAAAGGGTAATTTAGAAGAGCAATCCACAAGTAGAAGTTAGAATTATGCCCGCAGGATGACTCTGTTTGACTTTGCAATTCAATTGTGAATCAACAATCAATTTGAGATTTTTTGGTTTAGGGTTCGAATCTCGTCAAGTCCTGTTTGCTGAGCAACTTAGGGTCTACTTTTTGGTTAAACTTTTAATTGAGTAAATACTGATAAATTAGAAAAGTTTGGAGTTAATCAGCAAAGAAAATTAATTGAGTTTAAAGCTAAAATTAAGTTAAAAATATTAAGTTTTTATCTAACTATTTGATGAGTTAAATCATGGAAATTTTTGTCAGCTCTTATTTATTAAATATCGCCCCAACCATGATTACACTATTTAATCAATGTCAATTCATCATCTTGTTAACGGTTTAATGCCTTCGTTATATTATAATTGACACATTTGTATCATTTCAGCAAAAGTTATCGACTCAGCAACCCAATGTGCATTGGCAACAAGCCAATTAGTTACCACTGCGAAGGTTGTGGCTCCAACAATACAGAACCCTTCTTGTCAAAAACAGTTAACTGAGGCATGTAAAGAGGTTGCTAGAGCAGTTGAAAATGTCCTGAAAGCCTGTCAACTGTCCTGCAAGGATCCTAAGCTTCTTTTGGACTTAAGAGAAGCTGCTGCTGCTGTTACACGGGCGCTCAATGAACTTTTAGACCAGGTTCGATTATATGGAAGTCATCGAGCCAAAAAAGTTACCGAAAATGATGGGGCAGTTGATACAATTATTGATGCAACAGATAAACTGTTCAGTTCCACAGGTGATGCCGGAGAAATGGTTAAACAAGCCAAAGTTTTGGCTTCGGCTACATCTCAATTGGTTACAGATATCAAGGGAAAAGCAGGAACACAACCTGATTCAGGTAAACACACTTTAAAGTATACATGTTCAGCAAACATCACTAGTCAATGTTTGTTTATTGTAGCCTCTAAAAATAAATACACGAAATATATAAATTCAGTAATCGCATTGAATATTACAGTTATAATAACTGAAAAGCCGAACCATAAAAATTTAAAATTTAATGCTACTTGAGAAACTAATAGGTTCTGGCTTTAAGCTATTCATTTCGTCAGTGGAACATTTTACTCTGACTTTCATGTAAATTGATAACTGTTGCTTTTAGTAATAGCTTAGTTCCATATTCAAGTTCAGACCTTTAATGGTTGAAATCTGTGTTTCAGTTATCAAATTTTCTAATATTTTTAAATCCATAAACTTTGTTGATTTGCAAAATTATAATCGTATCTAAAATTATTTTTTTGACACAGACATTCAAAAGCGACTTTTAGCTGCTGCCAGAGTTCTTGCTGATGCTACAAGTCGTCTTATGGATGCTGCTAAAGGATGTGCGACCAATCCTCATGATTCAAAATCTCAAGCTGCTCTGAAAAAGGCCGCTGAAGATGTGGTTAATGCTACTAATACTGCAGTATCCAACGCTCTGAGGAAGAAGGTAATCAATCGATTAGAGGTATGCGCTCGTCAAACTGCCGCCGCAGCAACTCAAAATATTGCCGCTATTCATGGATCTGGTTCACACAACAGTAATAGGATATTACATGATGAATTGGAATTGATATGCACCGAAGTTTCTGATTCAATGCCTTCTGTTGTCTCCGGAATCAAAGATATTCACAGTCATCCCGATGATCCTGTTGCTCAAATTCAGTTAATAAATGCCTGTGAAGCCTTCATTGAGCCAACCTCACGAATGGCCAATGCTTCTAAGGCCGCAATACCCAATATAATAGACCCATCGTGTTCCCTCTCTCTTCGAAACTCTGCTCAAGAGCTTGATGAAGCAATTTCTGAACTCAAAGTTAGCTTGACCAAGGCACAAGAAGCATGTTACACTTCATTTGAAATTGAAAATGCAATCGAAGCTGTTAAAGAGCTCATCACTGAAGTAGATGCCAATAAAAAAGCTGCTGCTCGAGGAAACCTCAAGCCACTTCCAGGCGAAACTATTGAACGCTGCATCACTCAATTGAGTGTCGATTGTAAAACTGTCGGCTCTGGAATGGCTGAGCTTCTAACTGCTGCTTCACAAGGCAATGAGGTTCATGTTGGTGCTGCTTCTCGAGATACAACCATTGCTCTTCGAGATATGACACGTTCTGTCCGAGGTGTTGCTGCTACTTCTAATGATCCAGATTTTCAAGTTCGTACTCTTCAAAATTCTCGAGATGTTCTTGAAAAATCAATTGAATTGTTCCAGGAAACTAAATGGGCTTTGGAAAATATGAATGATAAAGAGCGACAACCTAGGTTAACATTTGTAGCTAAAAATGTTTCCAATGCTTTGAATAATTGTATGAATTCAATGCCAGGCCAACGAGATATTGATGAAGCAATTAGGACCATTAGTGAATCCAATACATTATTTTCAAGTGTAACATCAGTCTCAAGTTCAACTAAGAAATCTTATGCAGATCTTTCGAACAATTTGATTGCTGCAGCCAATAGATTGAACGAATCTGCGGCTGAAATTGTTGCCAACTCTAAATCTTCAGTCAACTTGTCTTCGGCTTCAAAACGATTTACCACTGTTTTTGGTTCCTTCGCAACTTCTGGACTGGAAATGGTTGCTGGTATTAAAGACGAGTCGATAAAAAAATCAATGGTTTCCAGTTTACACTCGATCTCTTCTGGAAGCAGCAAACTTTTATTATCTGCTCGATCCGTTGCCTCTGATCCACACTCATTGTCTGCCAAGAATACGCTTGGAAGTTCTCAAAGATCTTTGAATGATTCCATCAATAATCTAATCAACTTGTGTTCGACTGCTGCTCCTGGTCAGAAAGAGATTGACGCTGCCATCAGACGAATCCAAATGGCTCGACCTTTGTTGGAAAATCCTGTTGAACCAGTCAATTCTGCAAGTTATTTCGACTGTCTTGATACAATTGTTGAATATTCACATAAACTTCGCGATATCATGACCAATATTGGTAATTCAGCTGAAAAGTGTGACACTGAAACCTTCTGTAACTCTGTTCGTGATGGAGCCGATTCAATTTGTGGTCTAATTGAAACATCAGCTCAGTCAGCATACCTTATTGCAGCTGCAGATGCTAGTTCAGTCGCTGGTAGACCTGGTTTAGTTGATATATCAGCTTTCCATAAATCTAATGATGCGATTACCGAAGCTTGTTTCCAATTATCTCAAAGATCATCCAGTCAACAGCAAATATTGACTGCTGCAACCGCTATTGCTCGTCATACATCGTCCCTTTGTAATGCGTGTCGATTGGCTTCATCAAAAACAACTAATCCCATTGCTAAACGACATTTTGTTCAATCAGCTAAAGATGTTGCCAATGCCACAGCCGCTTTAGTAAAGGAAATAAAATCTCTCGATTCTCAGCCTCATTCAGAAGTTGTTCGTAAACTCTGTGCAGAGGCAACCAAACCATTGATTGATGCTGTCCAAAACCTTACTGCTTTTGCCTCTTCAGATGAATTTGCTGGAATTCCGGCTCGAATAAGCGACAAAGCTCGCTTAGCCCAGTTACCTATTACTAGTCCAGCTAAACAGACTTGCGACTCTTTCTGTAATCTTTTAAATACTTCGAAGGTTTTAATACTCAACCCACAAGATGGACCTTCATGGACCAAATTATCATCTAATGGAGAATCGGTTGATTCATCGATTGCTTCGTTGATTGCGGCTCTTCGAGAAGCTGCACCAGGTCAGAAAGAATGTGATATTGCTATTGAAAAATTACGTCGAAATATTAGGGAACTTGACTCTTCAGGAATGAGTTTAATGAACCAAACTTTATCCACTCGAGCTGATCATTCGTTCAAAACTTATCGAGAAATTTTGCATTCAACTATAAATGAAATCGCTGATAAAATTGATCCTCTTCGAGTGACTGGCAAATGCGAAGCTGAAAGCTTAGGTCACCGAGTGACTGCATTTTCAGCATATTTTGATCCATTAATCGATAATACTATTGGAGCTGTTTCGAAGGTTACTAATGGAAGAGTTCAATCAAATCTATTGAGTCAAACCAAAACAGTTTGTGAATGTGGACTGCAAATGCTCTTTGCCGTTAAAGAGGCCGGTGGAAATGCTAAGAATACCAGTTCACATGCCGATATTGACGAGGCTGGAGAGTGTTTGAAAGAAGCTATAAATGATTTGTCGCACACACTACAAACAACTAGTCCAGGTGCAGCTCATGTTCCTGTTGTAGTTGACTCGATTAGCAAATCAATTGGGCGAATGGATGAAAGATATTCGTTCAGTGGTGATCTCATTGACCCAAGTTTAAGTTTCGTTGATTATCAAACACGAATGGTTAACATATTGAGAGAAATCAATCGAATCGCTCAAGAAATTGTAAGTTATTTTCAACTAAACTACTTTTGTTTGTTTGTTTCTTGCTGAAAAGACACTTTTAACACATTTATGCACAAATTGCAACAAACCGACACAAAATTGACGCAAAAAGCGGGTTAAACGGGCTTTCTTTCATATTTAGACTTTGTTAGTTTATAGTGGCATGAAAACAGTGTCCATTTGTGCGATTAAAAAGTCTCTCTGATCAACAGGTCTCGAGAAAATCGAGGTCAAAGTCGAAACTTCGTTAGCCTTTTGTACCATTATGAGAGCAGATTTTTTCATAAAACTTTTTGTCATCATGCAAATTTTGATTACCAACTTGAAACCCAACTCATTTTGTGAAAAAAACTTTTCGTTTTCTGTAAAACAGATCACTTCGATTTACAATTAAACCGACCTATTTCTGTACGAGCAAGAGTTAGCGAGCTTAAACTTATTATTCGTACATAAAACTTGCTGTCACACATCATAGGTTGGCTATTTTTTTCCATGCAGCAATGGTTCTCTTGATTCTGGCCATTGAAGAAAAAACTTCGAACCAGAATATTTCGAAAATGACATCACCTAGAATAAGCATTCTTCCAGTAAACATTAGATTTCATTACTGACTGTAATATAATATGATTGAATGCTGAGTAAAATCTGATCTAATTCAATTAATAATGCATATTATTCTCACACTTAAGATTTTAGCTTAAGTAGCCATTTAATTTTTCTCAGAGTCTCAAATCTGTCAACACAAGTTATAAAATGATCTATTATTTCTTGTAAGATCTTCAATGATTTAATATTACACCGTGTTATAGCCCATAATGAAATCTAAAGTTTGGTGCAATAATGCTGATTTTAGAGGATGCCATTGTCGAAATATCGAAGCTCAAACTTTTTAGGTCAATAGTCAAAAACTAGTGAACCGTCATTAAATTAGAAAAAGTATTTGATTGATGATGTGTGTAACCATTTTTTGTCCGCGAATAATAAGTTTCAGCCTTCTAACTCTTATGGCTACAGAATGGGTTCGCTACAACTGAAAATCGAAGTGCTCTGTTTCACAGAAAACTGAAAAGTTCGCAAAATAAGTTCATTTTCTAGTTTGCAATCAAAAATTACATCAGAAAAATAAAGTTTCATTTAAAAATCTGCTTCCATAATTGTATCAAAAGAGATCGAAGTTTCAACTTTTAACTCGCTTTTCTCGAGAACTGTAGATCAGAGAAACTTTTCAATTGCTCAAACGAACTCATTTTTTAAGTCCCTACAAACTAACAAAGTCTAAATACGAAAGAAATCAATTTTTTGTCCGTTGCTGCCATTCGTGTCAACAGTGTCTTTTATTAACAGCAATCTTTAAAACTTAAATCTTAAATTACTTTTTCTGCTTAAAACATCAGAATACAAAATCAGTGAATAAGGAAGTTGACCAGTTAAGCGAGCTCACCAATAATTTGGCCACTAACTATTCAAATTTAACCTTAAATACCATTGGTGCCATAGGAACTACATCAAATTACGAAGTAAGTCATTAATAAATATCATTATAAAGTATTGTTATTAGCTTAGAGTTTTACATTTCGTTAACGTTTTTCATTTGTTTATAATGATATCGATCTATTTACAGGTCGGTAATCGCATTAAAAGCAGCGTTCAAGAACTAGGCAGTGCATGCATTCAGTTAACCAAAGCTACTGGTCCCGTTCAGGACGATCCAGATGATTTTAGAGCTCAAAAAGATGTAACCGAACAAACTCGAAATGTTTCTGAAAAAGCTTCCTATGTTTTGGCTGCCCTTCAAGCTGGATCAAGAGGAACCCAAGCTTGTATTAATGCAGCTTCTGTGGTCTCAGGAATTATTGGTGACCTGGATACAACCATTATGTTTGCCACAGCGGGAACCCTTAACCCTGAAGATCCAAATGATACATTCGCTGCACACCGAGAGAGCATCTTGAAATGCGCTAAAGCTTTGGTCGAAGATACCAAAGCATTGTTTGTTGGTGCTGCTTCAGATCAAGAAAAATTGGCCGATGCTGCTGGTAACGCTGTTGAAGCTATCGTCAAACTAAGTGAGGAAGTTAAACAAGGAGCAACTTCATTAGGATCCAAAAATTCAGAAGCTCAGGTATTGCTGTTGAACTCTGCTAAGGACGTTGCAACTGCTCTAGGTGACCTCGTACTTGCAACCAAATCAGCCTCAGGCAAGAGTAACGATGATCCAACCATGATATCAATGAAGGAATCAGCCAAGGTTGGTAGCAATCAACGCAATCTACACTTAAATCATTCAACAACTTCATACAAATACCTAGACATGTCCATTACTATAGCTTTAAACCTTGCCACCACTTCGCATCATGTTTCAACATTTGTCTTGACTTGCATTTGTTTGTTTGCCCAATCTTTATTAATCGTTATTCACATTTTACTGTTTAATAACCCGAACAAATTGATTTCATTGTCGAAAGATATTAACTTTAGTTTATAGTCAAACCAAATATTCATTTGAAACTAACATGTTTGAATTATCGTTGAATCTCGAGCCTGAGGTTTGAATCTAAAGGATAAATTGTTTTTGAATGTTAATGGTTGGTTTAAGCACTTGATATCTCGGGCGATTCAGTTTATATTTATGTTTTTAATGTTGATGGCGTTGGTCTTCCATCTAATTACTCACTCATAACATAATTGGTTATAACACGGGTCACTGATGATGGTTTGCATAGTTCAGGCGTATTAACCTTTTCCATTTGTTGCCGCTAAATTGTCTATTAATTGTGTATCATTTATTTTTCAACAGCACATGATATCAAATGTAACATCTTTACTAAAAACGGTTAAAACGGTTGAAGATGAACATCAAAGAGGAACTCGTGCTTTGGAGCAAACAATTGAAGCAATTAACCAAGAGATCAGGTTATTTGATACCTCTGGACCACCAAATAAACATTCAACTCCAGAAGATTTAGTTCGCATAACTAAACCCGTTTCAATTTCAACGGCCAAAGCAGTTGCTGCAGGCAACAGTGGTCGTCAAGATGACATTATTGCTGCAGCCAACATGGGACGCAAAGCTATATTTGACCTTTTGGTCACTACAAAGCAAGCAGCATTTGCCTCTGAATCCGGTGAACTGACATCGCGAACTCTTGAAGTCGGCCGAGGCTGTGCTCTTAAATATCGCCAATTGCTGCAAATGGTTCGTCAATGCATACAACGAGCCAGTGGAGCAACAAGTGAAGAGAAACAGATTCTCATTGAAATGTCTCGAGATATTGCCTCGTCGGTAACTGAGATCGTAAGCTGTGCAGAAATGCTTAAAGGGTCAGATTGGGTAGATCCAGATGATCCAACGGTCATAGCAGAAACTGAGTTGCTTGGAGCAGCGGCTTCGATAGATGCTGCAGCCAAGAAATTAGCAAGTCTACAACCCCGTCGAACCAGTATTAAGGTAAATTATTTGCAAAGAAACTTATTATTTGATTAGCATTCATTTAATTTTTCTTTTTCAATTCAATTCTCTTCTAATTTAGTTACCTCATGAAGACATGAATTTTGATGAAATGATATTGGAAGCTGCGAAATCAATAACATCAGCCACAGCAGCTCTTTTAAGAGCCGCTTGTGCTGCCCAACGTGAACTTGTTGCTGCAGGTCGACTCTCTAACCATCCTGTTTCCCGATCAGACGACGGTGAATGGTCTGAAGGTTTAATATCGGCTGCTCGTATGGTTGCCGCTGCAACACACAGTCTTGTGGAGGCAGCCAACGCTCTCGTTCAGGGTCATGCATCAGAAGAGAAACTAATATCTGCAGCTAAACAAGTGGCCGCTTCAACTGCACATCTCTTGGTTGCTTGTCAGGTTAAAGCTGATCCCGATTCCAAAACAATGTTGCGTCTTCAAGCTGCTGGAAACGCAGTTAAGAAAGCAACTGATAATCTTGTCCGTGCTGCTCAACGGGCCATTGAAGCAGACGAAGAAACAAGTTTAGTCATCAGTAATCGTAAGGTTCCATCGATAGCTCAAGAAATATCAGCTCGTGAAGAAATCTTGCGAAAAGAACGAGAACTTCACGAAGCTCGAGATAAATTAGCAGCAATTCACAAAGCAAGGTACAATCAGAAAGGCCGGGAATATTATGATCTATCTTATTCATCTTAATTTTAACATTTGAACCAAATAATCTTCGCCAATTTAAATAAATAGAATCTAAGTCACCGATTTCATGCCATTTTCACCTGAAGATCTAATCAACATTTTCATCATCGTCATCGCCATAATTATCAATTTTACAAATTCATATTTGATTTTTGTTCGCTTCCTTTTCTTTCAGCCTCTGTAATCATCTTCATCATCATCCTCATCAACATTATGACATTCACTAACATCATTTCAAAAATAGAATCATTAAATTCATGATTAAAGAACTAAAATACAGAACCATAACAGCACATTCGTTACTAATAAATAAAGACATCATAATATTATTAAACTGGGGCCAAGTTTTCATTTATTCATCAAATTCGGATATTATAATAATTGAAAAATACTTGAAAACACATTTGTGTACAAATTGACACAAGTTGGAAAAGGGCAGCAACGGGTAAAAATTGATTTCTTTCAAATTTAGATTCTGTTAGTTTGTAGGGACATAGAAATTGAGTCTATTTGTGAGATTAAAAAGTTCCTCTGCTCAACAATTCTCGAGAAAAGCGAGTTCAGAGTTTAAACTTCGATCGCTTTTGATACAATTATGGAGGCAAGTTTTTTAATGAAACTTTTCTGGTGTAACTTTTAATTGAAAACTAGAAAATGAACTTATTTTGAAAAATAAAATTTTCTATTAATATTTCTGAACAAATAGATAAGTTCGATTTTTAGTTAGACCGACCCATTTTTGTGACCTGAAGAGTTAGAAGGCTAAAACTTATTATTCTTGGATAAAAATTGATGCCACACGTCAACAATCAAATACTTTTTCCAATTTAATGGCAGTCCTCTTGTTTTTGACCATTAACCTAAAAAGTTTGAGCTTCGATATTTCGATAATGGCATCCTCTAAAATCTGCACTATTGAACCAAACTTTAGATTTTATTATGGGCTATACCATGTTGAATTATCAAATTAGTCAAGATTCTAGTAAAAAAGTTAGCTCATTTTATAATTTGTCTTGACAGATTTGAGACTCTGTTTAAAATTAAATGGATACTCAAGCAAAAATCTTAAGTGTGAGATTAATATGCATTATTAATTGAATTAGATCAGATTTTACTCAGCATTCAATCATATTATATTACAGTCAGTAATGAAATCTAATTTTTACTGGAAGAATGCTTATTCTAGGTGATGTCATTTTCGAAATATTCTGGTTCGAAACTTTTAGGCCGATGGCCAAAATCAAGAGAATTGTTGGTGAAATGAAAAAAATAGCCAGCCTTTGATGTGTGACAGTAAGTTTTATGTATGAATAATAAATTTAAGCTCGCTAACTCTTGCGTTCACTGAAATAGGTCGGTTAAATTGTAAATCGAAGTGATCTGTTTTACAGAAAACAGAAAAGTGTTTTGCACAAAATGAGTTCAGTTTCAAGTTGGTAATCAAAAGTGACATGATGTCTAAAAGTTTTATGAAAAATCTGCTCTCATAATGGTACAAAAGGCTAACGAAGTTTCGACTTTGACCTCGATTTTCTCGAGACCTGTTAATCAGAGAGACTTTTTAATTGCACAAATGGACACAGTTTTCATGCCATTACAAACTAACAAAGTCTAAATATGAAAGAAAGCCCGTTTAACCCGCTTTTTGCGTTAATTTTGTGTCAGTTTGTTGCAATTTGTGCATAAATGTGTTAAAAGTGTCTTTTAAGCAAGAAACAAACAAAATAAAGTAGTTTAGTTGAATATAACTTACAATTTCTTGAGCGATTCGATTGATTTCTCTCAATATGTTAACCATTCGTGTTTGATAATCAACGAAACTTAAACTAGGGTCAATGAGATCACCACTGAACGAATATCTTTCATCCATTCGCCCAATTGATTTGCTAATCGAGTCAACTACAACAGGAACATGAGCTGTACCTGGACTGGTTGTTTGTAGCGTGTGTGACAAATCATTTATAGCTTCTTTCAAACACTCTCCAGCTTCGTCAATATCGGCATGAGAACTGGTATTCTTAGCATTTCCACCGGACTCTTTAACGGCAAAGAGCATTTGCAGTCCACATTCACAAACTGTTTTGGTTTGACTTAATAGATTTGATTGAACTCTTCCATTAGTTACCTTCGAAACAGCTCCAATAGTATTATTGATCAATGGTTACAAATAGTATTCTGGGTCAAAATAATAGTCAACTGGTATTCTTAGCATTTCCACTGGCCTCTTTAACTGCATAGAGCATTTGCAGATCTGTTTTACAGAAAACAGAAAAGTTTATTTTGCAAAATAAGTTCATTATTAATTACCGTGTTTCCGCACAAAGAAGGCCAGATCTTATTAATGAAAACTTCACTTATTAGCCCTTTTTACTCTATTTGAAGAAGCCCAGTTTTTTTTCAATAGAGTTTTAGCTTTAGGGCTAATTAAAGGGGAAATCCAAGGGCTAATTAGTGAAGATTTTGGTCAATAAGCTCTGGCCTTTTTTGTGCGGAAATACGGTAGCTGCTTGCATAAAATCAGAGTATGGTTGGGTTTTAGTATTTGATTGTACTGATGCTTCGATTGCCAATGCTGATATTTATATGGCTAATTTTGTCAGTTCAAGTTGTTCAGTTTTGCTAAAAGATCCGCTTTTGCGATGAAAAGAGTTTAAATGGACAACTCGGTAAAGACGATTTTCCTGACTACCTCGGTGGTTCTGGTAGAACAACAACAAACGATTACAGAATTTTCCCGGATAACTTATCAATCAATCTAAGGTATGACTGGTAAAGTTTTGGACAAATTTTTTACCATTAAATTGAGACAGTTAGACTAGACTTACAGGCACCATTTAACCATTAAAATGAAAGTATACTTTTCAAAAATATTTTGTACAAAAATAAACCGATTTCGATCAAAAATCGCCAAGTTATGGCCTTAAATGGACAAAGGTGTCAAAATCTGATTTTGCCTTTCGTCAAAAACCTTATATTTTCAACTTCCTGCCAGGGTTTTGTAGACTCGAAAAATGGCCAAATTTGGCCTCAAAGTTGTTAAAAAAGATGTAATTGGCCTAAAATAACTCAACCCAGGTCTATTAAAAAGTTCAGGTCAGCATCGGAACTAAATTTCACGGAAATTTGATAAAAAGCGATTTTTCATTGAATTCAAATTGAATTTTTATGAATCGGGACTGCGATTCCGAACCCTGAAACAGATAATTCCACATTAAAAGATCTGGATTTCACCGGCAGTGGAGAAAAGACCTTCTGATCTTTTCAAGTCGGAATAATATTCGAAATAGAAGTCCTTTTTCCTAAAAATTCAATTTCGAGTTCATAAAAAATCGAGTTTGTTCAAATGTCCGTGAAATTTAGTTCCAATGGTGACCTGAACCTTTCAATCGATCTATTTTGAGTTATATTGAGTAATTTACATCTTTCTCAATAGCTTTGAGGTCAAATTTCGCCATTTTGCGATCCTTCAAGATCCTGGTATGAAGTTGAAAATATACGGTTTTTGACGAAAGGCAAAATCAGATTTTGACACCTTTGTCTATTTAAGGCCATAACTTGGCGATTTTTGATCAAAATTGACTCATTTTTACACAACACATTTTTGAGAAGTGTATCTTCATTTTGACGTTTTAATGATGCCAGTAAGTCTAGTCTAACTGTCTCGTTTTATTATTAAAAAATTTGTCCAAAACTTTACCAGTCATACCTTATAATAAATAGATTTACTAAAGGAATATTAACAAGTGAATCGCTCGAACACAACCCTCTGGCTATCATGACTGCTATAGAGTATTGTTGGCATTACAGCATTTTCTCGATGA